GGCTCCGGTGTCCCCGCTGTGCCCCAGAGTGTCCCGGGTCCCCAAAGTGTCCTCAAGTGTCCCAGGTTCCCAAAGTGTCCTCGTCGGGGCTCACGGTGTCACCACTGCACCACGAAGTGGCCCTGCTGTGGCCCAAGGCATCTTTGTTGTGCGCCCAATAGTCCCCCTGCGGCCCAAAGCACCCGCCCGTGTCCCCAAGGGGCCCGGCTGCATCCTGAAGGGTCCCTTCGTGTCCCAAAGAGGTCCCGCTGCGGCGGCCCAAAGTCTTTTCCTTGTGTCTCAAGGAAACAGTTCCAATGTGTCCCCTTGTGTCCAAAGGCACCTCTTGTGTGTCACAGCACCTGTGCTGTGTCCCAAAGTGTCCCAGGCCTCCCAAAGTGTCCCCTGGTGCCACTGCTGAGTCCCAGGGTGTCCCGCTGAGCATCYGCTCATGTCCCAAAGCATCCCAGCTGCAGCCTGAAGTGTCCCCATCATGTCCAGAACTGTTCCCGCTGAGTCCCAAACCACCCTGTTGGAGACTAAATTGTCCCCCTYGTGCCCTAGAGCATCTCCCTTGTGCCATCTTGTCACCTCCCAAGGCGTTGCCACCTTGTCCCTGCAGTGTCCCTGTGYGGCCTGGCAGCCACATTCCCCAGTGTCCCCATCAGGATCCAAGGCACCCCACCGTCTCCCAAACCATTCTGAAAGGCCCATGTTGTGCCTTTCATGCTCCCCGCTGTCCCCGTTGTGTCCCCAACCATCCTCATTGTGTCCCCAACCACCCCCATCCTGCCCCAGCAGGCGCCCTGGGGGCAGCTGTGATCCAGCCTCCCTGCTTGACAGAAGCGGCTCCGGGGACGCAGGGACGTCGGGGGCCCCGTGCGCCCCCAGCTTCGCCCTCTGCCCCCCGGCTCTGGTCACAGCTCCAGCCACGGCTCTGGCCACAGAAGCAGCATTTCTGCCGCCGGGTGGTGCCCGCGGCCGGCGTGGCCGCCTGATCCCGGCCCTCTTCCTCCCRCTCCCAAAGCCCGCCGTGCTCCGGCCCCTGGCGTTGCAGCCGGGATTAGCTGCGGCGGGGGGAGATGGAGGGCGTCCCTGATGCCGCTCAGGCGCTGGGCCCACAAGAAAACACCCCGTTCACCCACCTAGGAATATACTCTTTATTCAGCAGAAGTCACAGCGGGTCCTGCCAGGCGCTGCCTCCGGCCATGGGCACAGCTTGATGTCCCCAGGCTCTCTGCCACCTCCGGCTGCCCAAGGGCGATCCTTGCTGCACAACATGGCTGGTTTTTGTCCAATATGCCAGGCTGCCACCTCTCTGCCACCCTGCGGTGTCCCCAGAGCCCCTGGAGTGACGTTTCTGGYGCTGCGCTGACCTTGCCAGCCCTCCCATGAAGCGGCACAGCGGCACAGTGCCACCAACCATGCAGGGGACAAGGACCAGCAGCCCCCCGGGCAAAACATCCTGCTGGAGGGGGASGTGGTGGGGACAATGGGGATGTGGGAGGACGACGAAAGTCAAACTGTTGCTGTGGACAAGGAAACGGGGAGCGGAGAGGGGGAGCAGGGAAGAGCATCACAGCGGGACACACTCCTCTCCATGGTCCTCGGCATGCAGTGGGCTCAGGGCTGCACTGAAGGGAGTCTCACCCTTGTGGGGCTCATCCTGGTGGTGGGAACAGCCTTGGGGGGCTGGGATGGTGGGGACGGGACTCTCCACATCCCGACGTGCCCATGGCAGCTCAACCCCCTCAGCAGGAGCTACTCGCTCCTCTGGGGATGATTCCCTGAGAGCAGCAGCCCCGCTGGGGATGAGCAGCAGAGGACAGCGATGGACGAGGGTGGCACCTTCACGTGGCACCGGTGGCACTCGAACTGTGTCCTGGATTCCCGTGGCAGCCAATGGCCTGGAATCAGCCAGGCCCTCGTGCTCCGGTGCTGCCTGTTCCTTGAGCCGGCGCTGGACACCACCATGGTCTGTAGTCCGARGACAGGCCAGCCTTATGCCACGCAGCTGTGAGAGTCCTGCCCCTGCCCTTCTGCCCCATCGTGTCCCTGCCTCTGCGCCCGTCCCTGGGCACCCCAGCACCCGGGCTTAGCCGTCCGGGAAGATGTAGCTGTATTGGTTCAAGATGTGCTCCACTATCTGGTTCTGGAAGACCATGTGCATGGCCATGTTGCCCTCCTCGCTGGCCGGCCGCAGCAACGTGGGGCCGAACACRATGGCAACGCTCTGCACCGACATCCGGTTCTCCTCCTTGTACTCGATCACCCTGCGGGGAGAAGCGGGGCGTCACGGTGCCGTCGTCGCCCCCGCTGCCCTTGGTCTGCCGCCGCGAGCGGCCTCACCTGCAGAGGTGCTGGAACAGGACCCTCATGGTGTCGTGGTTGGCGGGCGGCAGGGAACACACCAGGTCGCGCACGCAGCGGCTGCGCCACGTCGGCTCCTGCATCTCTGCAGGGAAGCGCAGGCAGGACGCGCTGGGGTGCCGGCTCCGTCCCGCCGAGCTGGGAGCCCCTCAGCGCCGGGGGAGCCTCCCCGGGGCCCTGGGAGCGCGGCGGGGACCCGCTCACACGCCGGGGTGCCTCTCATCTGGCCCCATCCYCTGCCCTGTGCTTGGCCAGGCAGCAGGACCCCATGGCCGGCGGGGATGTCCCTTCCCTCCAGCCTTGTCCAGCATGGACCCCGGGACGATGTCATGGAGGAAACCATCCCCATGGGGTCACCCCTGGCTCTAGACCAGGGGGAAGCAGTCTGTGGGGTGACAAGTGATGGAAATGGGCAGGGGAGCATCAGCGCCGAGGCTCGACCTGTCCKCCAGCCTTACTGATGGCAGCGATGAACTTGTCGAAGTGGGTGAAGGGGAAGAGCGGCTCCGGCAGCTCGCGGAAGAAGAGCTTCAGGGCGCCCGTCACCACGTGGACGTCCTCCCACCGCCCGTCATCCAGGTCGAGGTGCTCGTCTGYGGGGACAGGACCCAGCGCTCGCGGGCTGTGCTGCCCACCCGGGCAGCGTGGCAGAGCTGCACGGACGTCCCCCCTCTTCCCAGTCGGTTCTCGGAGGACACACGGATGGCTGAGACACTTCGGGACTGCCCCTTGGCTCTCCTGCTGCTCCATATGGCTCCGTGCTCCCAAACATGGGGCAAAACCAAGGAGAAGGGCAAGCCGAGCTCCACGTGTGCTCCCAAACCCCCTCCCATCTGGGGACATCTGCTCAGCAGCTCCCTGCTGTGACGCAGCTCCCTTTAACAAGACCAGACCTGGACAAGCCAGGGATTGTGGAGGTTTCCCAGGGGACAGGAGATCTCCTCTCCTCTCCTCTCCTCTCCTCTCCTCTCCTCTCCTCTCCTCTCCTCTTTCCCCCTCCAAGCTGGAGCTCATGCATGAGGCCCTCAGAGACCCTCAGCTTTACATTTACACCATAATTCCACCATGGATTTTTCCATCTGGGATTTTCCTGCTGCAGGAGGAGATGCACTACAAGCTTCAAGGTGCCACCAGCCTGCTTAGCGCTCGACTCCCCATATGGAGACGAGAAGAACCCGTGGAAGATACTTGAGGGGGTGGAAGGGAAGCCAGGCCACCCCAGGTCCTACCGTGGTCCACTTTGTAGCGCAGTTTCTGGATCGTGGCCAGGTTGCCGCTGACTCGGTACAGCCCGTCTATGTCCAAGCCTGGCAGAGGCGGAAGGAAGAGGCCCGTTAGGCACAGCCCGGTGCTCGCCGGGCTCTGCCCATCCTGAGGCCCATCCGCGACGCTACCTCTCCTCTCCACCGTCCGGATGCACTGCAGCACGAAGCGGGGCACCGTGCTCCGCTCCCGCTCGCACAGCGCTTGCAAGGAGCAGCCGAACACCTGGTCTGCAGAACAACAGGCGGAGGAGAGGTGTGAGCGCGGAGCRGGCAGGACGCCGGGAAGCGGTGGGATGGGAAGGGGCGCCCACCTTTGATGTAGCCCCGCTCCCTCAGTGACTGCAGCGTGGGCCGGCGCTGCAGGAACTTGCGCAGCTTGCTGCGCACTTTGCTGGAGTCGCTCTCGCCGTCACCACCGCCAGTTGCCTGCCCAGATGCTGCTGGGGATAGGGGAGAGGTCAGGAGACCCCCAAAACGGGACTGGGGACGGGGATGGGGGCCGGGAGCTGGTGTGGGGGAGCAAGGGGGACGCCAGAGACGTCGCTGCGTGGCCTGGCATGGACGCGGCACCTCTGCCGTCCCCCCATCCGTGCAGGGGACGTGTCCTGCTCTGCCGGTGACCCACACGTCCCGCGGCCGGCACGGAGGAGCCACCCSCTCACCTAAAGTCCTCTTCTCCTCAAAGAGTTTCTCCCTGGACCCAAATTCAGCCTCGTTTTCCACGTCATCTTCCGGAGGGAAGTCTGTGCTCTGCAAAGGGGCAGGGTGAGCGGCGGGTGCCCGTGGCGAGGGCGGCGGGTCCCGTGGAAGGGGAGGGTGCCGCGCAGCGCCGTGCTCACCAGCCGCGCGATGCTGTCCACGATGGCCCTCTGCCACGTGACGATGATCTGCTCCGAGTCGTGCTGCATGAGGAACTCGGAGCCGTCCCGCGTCCTCAGCTAGGAGCGCAGCGGGTGGCGCTCAGGGCCCGGCCACGGCACCGCTCGGCCTCCCCAGCCCCAACACGGCGCAAGGCGGCTGGAGCTGGCCCCACTCCCGGGCGCTGACGGATCCTGTCCCTATCCCTCCTCCCACCTTCAGCATCTCCCCTGGCCCTGCCCTCACGTGAGGTAGTGGCCAGGTGATGGCTGAGAACGGTGCACAGCTCATTGCGCTAATGACCCCAGCTTTTCTCGGGCCTCATCCTCTTGTGGTTTTTGCTCCCCTTTGCTGCTGTGACACGGACCAGAGGAGGACTGGACTCACCTCCAGGACGTTCCTCTTGCTGGATTTGTCCCTGCCGGCCCAGGTAACGGTGGCCCCTCGCAGCTCCACCGTGTGCTCCGGCGTGGTCAGGGTGGCAGGGTGTCTCTGTGGGGACCCAAGGGGCCGTGGCACCAGCGGAGCCAGGACACAGGGCACGTGACCACATTGGGGGTCCATCCCCCCGAGGCTCCCCAGGGCTCCTGCATGGGGCTGGGGAGCGGCGGCAGGTCCTGCGGGCGCTGTGCCCGCGCTCTGCACTGCGGGGACGGCGCTGTGCCCTCCTCCCCAGGGCTTTCCGCTGGCCGCCCTCCCTTCCCCTTGCAGCCTGCACCGCGGCCTGTCGCAAGACGGTGTCTGCGCGAGGCTGCGGGCGCCGCCGGCAGCTTCTGCATTCGGGCCCCGCTGGCGGGTTTGGGCTGGGGAGGCCGGGGGGATGGCGGGGGAAGAGTCAATGCAGCCGGTGTCGGGAGCATCGTCCCTGCAAGAGCAGTGGGGGTGCCCAGCGCGGCGGCGGGCGCCGCCGCACACTCACCAAGGCGCCGGCGGACGAGTGCTTGGAGTCCTTGAAGAAGGTCAGGATCCCCCCTTCGAGGACGGTCCAGGATGAGCTCCAGTTCTTCCTGGGCATGAGATGTGGCGGGGACGGGTCAGCGCGGGCGGCTCTTGGCCAGGCCGGGGCCGGGCGCTGCCGCTGCACGGTCRCTTACCGTAAGCGCTTCCCCCTGTCCGCCGTCTTGGTGCGGTTCAGCACRCCGGCCTTCTCCAGGCTTTTACACTGCAAGGGAAAGCCCTGCRGGGTTGGATCCCTGGCGGCTCCGGGCACGCGGGGTCCCGGGCAGCTCCTCACCTGCTCCTCCCTGGGCCCAGGTGACAGGCGGCCGTGCCAGGCGCCCGCAACGCCGCCGCCGTCCTGGCTGGAACCGCTGCTGGCCCTGTCGTGGYGGCCGCGCACGGGCACCTGCGAGGGGACGCGGCGCGTGATGCCAACAGCACCGGCCTGGTGGGTACCAGCCCTGCCCGCGGCTGCTCGCACCTACCGTGGGCGCGGTGTCGTGCCCGGTGCAGAACACGGCGGCCTCGGCCCCGCACCAGCCAGCCGGCTCGGCATTGCGCATTGGCAGTGCGTACGGCGGGGCACCGCGCTCGTACGAGCCCGCAGGCCAGCACTCATCGTCGGCGTACGCGTCCAGCTCATCCGGAGACAGCTCGGGATAGTCCGTCTCCGGCGTGGGCGGCTGCGGATGGGCGAGGGGCTGATGGTGGCGCCGCGCGCCGGGACCCCCGGGCCACCACGCGGCCCCGCGCGCCGCCCGCGCGCCCTGCTCACCCGCTGCTCGGCCGCGCCGTGCTGCGCCACCCCCGCCGACATGTCCGGGCAGCTGCCGGCGGCGCCCGGATCGGGGGGGTCCCACGACGTCTCACCTGTTACCGAATTATAGAAAAAAGCCTGTCCGCTGGCTTCATCCACGTAGCGGCCCCACGCGGCGGCRGCCTCGGCGCGGCGGGCGGGCGACGAGGCGGGCGAGGCGCCGGGACTCACTCCGTCTTCGGCCTCCTCTTCGGGGCACTCCCAGCGGCTGGCGCCCGTGAGCGGGTTGTAATAAAACACGCGGCCGCTGCTGCTGTCCACGTGGGCTTCCCAGGCGGGCGCGGGGCCTGGCGCGGCCCGGCTGGCGGCCGCCGCCGCTTCCTCTCGCAGCTCCGCGATGTTGAGGTAGACGGGCTCGGGCGGCTGCGCGGGCGGCTGCGCGGGCGGCTGCTCGGGCTCCTTGCGTGTCTGCGGAGGGACGGCCCGCACCTCAGCGCCCGGCTGCGCCGCAGGGCCCGTCCTGGCACCCCGGCCCCGTCAGCGCCGTGCCCGGCGGCCTCCCCGCTGCGTCCCAACMCCGCCGCTCTGGGCCCGGCCTCGACGCCAAAATGGTGGCCGCCGGGGGCCGGGGGCCGCCCCGCTTGCATGGCCATGGCGCGGGGTGTCTTCATGTGCTCCAGGCTGCCTCCCGCCCGCCACGGCCCTGGTGGCACCCGCGGGTCGCAGCCGCGGTGACGGCCCCGGTGGCACCTCCGCAAAGGGCAGCGCCAGCGTCAACACGGGAGCCGGCCCCGGCGGGGCGCGCGGCGCCGCCATGCAGAGCTCCTCCCCGCRCGGGACGCTGCGACCTGCCGGCAGCCCCGGCGTGGCCCTGCCACCTTTGGTCGCCTCCTGCTTTTACTGCCTTCCCGGAGCGGCAGGGACAAAGTTTGCTCGTCCTGCCCGTGTGCCCACAGCATCGGCTGTGCTGCCCCTTGGCCACGGTGCCCACCGGGGAGCACCGGGCACCGCGGGGTACCACAGAGCAGGAGCCAGGGCGAGAGGCTGCCCATGTCCTGGACACATGGGACAGAGCGAGGGGGGCACCTTCCCGGTGGCACCTGGCCCTGGCCACAGGGACCCTGCGCTGCCCCCCGCGCGGCTCCCCGGCACCTCCCCGTCCTGGTGGCATCTTCGGCCGTTTCCCCTCGGGAAACCACAAGCCGAAAGGCGCTCCCGTCCCCTGTGGCCGCTCGGGGAGGTGTTTTGGGGCCTGGCGATGCTGCTAGTGGCCCCTGGGGAACAAACCACCTGCCCTTGGGCTTCCTCAGGGCGCGCGGCAGGAAGCGGGGACGGATCTGCCACCTCCCTTGCACCCGTCCCCGGGCTCCCTACCTTGCCCATGGCGAGCAGCCGGGACACCCTGGCCTTGGAGCGCAGCAGCGCGCCGGCCGCCCGGTCGCCCATGTCGGCGGGCGCGGGGCCTGGGGCCGCTGCGGCGCCGCGCGGCTCCCGGCGGGACGCGCCGGCGGACGCAGAAATGAGAAGCTGCCCCGCTCCGGGGCGCCTCGCGCGCTTCCTGTTGGGGTTTTTGGGGCGGAAGAGTTGCCTTGGAGACCCGAGGTGCGAGCGATGGGCTCGCTGGCGGTTTGACGCCTCCCGCCGGCTCCGGTGGCACCGCAGGTTCCTGCCAGCGGCAGCGGGGGCCCCAGGAGACGCTGTTCCTTGGGGACGTGCCCGGGGTGTTTGCAAAAGGGAAGGTTTTTGCCCCGGGGCAGCCTGGAGCTGCGCGGACCTGCGGGAGAGGCCAGGCGGGGGCCAGGCCATCGTGGCGGCCGCTGCCCTGGCCCTGCCGCTGCCCCGCGGGGATGCTGTCCCCCCGYGGTGCTGGGGACCCCGTGGCGGGGGTTTCTTGGGCCACGTTTTCTCAGCACAAACAGGCGCAGCCTGGGGATGGGGGCCAGGGCTGTGAGTGCTGAGCTCTGTGCGCGCAGYGGCACCRAAGCCTGAAACGGGGCCGGTTTCAAGGTCCTGCTGGCTGCTTCGGGGTCCCGTCAGTCCCGAGGAGACGGGCAAACCCAGCCCAAGCTCGAGCAATTCCCCCGGGCATTAAATCCTCCTTCAAAGCAAATCTCCAGCCCTGGAGGGCTGCAGAACCAGCAGGAGCCTCTTGCCGGGCGAGCGGCAGCTGGCACTTGCTGAAGCGACAAGGTGGCAGAAGCGCCCGCATGGGGTGGGTGCCTCTGCGCCCCATGGGCTTGGGCAGCGGCCGCGGGGCCGCCGTGGGGATGGGATAATTGGGACCTTGCCCCGCTTGCCGGAGAGGAGCAGGGCAGCAGCCTCCCTGACCGGCTCGCGAAACATCCCTGCTCCGCTCCCGGAGGCGCCAGCGCCTCCAGGCCCTGGGTACAGCCGCTGTCCCAGGGGACACCCACGGCTCCTCCCTGAGAGCTTTTGTCCACCCTTGACAACTCCCAGCCCTCSCTGCCGGCTGTTCCCGCTCCCGGGACGGGCCAGCAGCGCAGGGCATGGGARCCACCGGCCTTGGTGGCATCACTGAGTCATGAAGAGGGCACCGAGTTGCACCTGGTGGTGGGAGCATTGACGGGGCTCCCCTTCCTCTGCCAGCCCCCGGGCATCACGGCCCGCAAGCCACCGGCGGTTGCACGACGGCCCCGCGGTCCCTATGAGGCGCCTTGGCCTGGCTCTGGCTTCCGCCTCTGACCCTCGGACACCCCGGACACGTACGGAGGTGGGTGCCAGCCCGCGTGCCCAGGGCAGGTGCCCATGCTTTCCGCATGGCCTCGCGCCGCATTTCCTCTCTCCCTGCTTTTCTGGGAGCTGCGTTTCTGCTCTCGAGGCCGTAGGCAGAAGCGAAGCTYGAAACGGGAAGGGCGAGCGGCCCGGGCGCTGCGTGCCCGTGCGGGGCTCTGCCCAGAGCCGCCGGGGACTGTAAAATCGCTCCGGTCCCAGGGGCACCGGGAGGGACAGGTCCTGCGGGTGGGGACGTGGGGCACACGACAGGCCCTGAGGGGCCGCAGGGCACCCACGGAAGCCACCGGTGACACCCCCGTCGTCCTCCCTGCGCCGGGGGCCACCCAGGAGCTGCGGGGAGTGCYGGGTGCTACTTACTGCCCTGGGGCGAGCGGCGGCCGGGGGGCGCGGGCTCGGGACGCCCCGGCTGGCGGGCGGGCGGACAGGGCTCCGGGCGGGCACCGGGCGCCCCAAGGCCGGGCAGGTGAAGCCGCCCGCCCGCGGGGAGGAGTCGGTGCCTTTAACCCCTTTCTGCCCTGGCTGCCGCGCTGCTCGGGGCTGCGCCCGCCYGCGAGCGGACGGGTCCTGGAGGGATCTGCGTGGTGGAGCCAGCGCCTGAGCTTTGCCCCTCGGCATTTCCCGGGGGAAACCCCCTTCCAGGGTGCAAAGCRCCCGGGTTTGGGCTGCCGTGGATGGGACACACAGGGGGCTTTGCAAAGAGCGCACCGCTGCGTCCGGCGGCATTTTGGCAGCGATGCTCAAGCAGAGCAAAGCCTGGGAACCCTTGGCTCTTTTCCCTTTTTTTTTTTTTTTAAGATAAAAAAAGAGAATTGAAAGTGTTTGCTGGGGATGGAGACAGCCGCGGTGCAGCTGGACAGGCTGCTGGGGCTGGCGCGGTGCCAGAGGCCATTGACCCCTGTGGAGGCCGTGGGTGGCCGGGGACGCCGAGGCCGGGCCCGGGGCAGAGCCGGCGCTGTCAGCGCCCGGCGGGCGCTTTGGCAGATCAGCTCTGGCCCGCGGGGCCGGCCGGGCACCAAGCCCTGGCAGCACCAGCGCTGGCTGCAGAGCCCGGGCTGGTGCCAGAGGGACCCAAGGGCCCCGGTGTCCCGCGTGTTGCCACGGTCAGGCGGGATGGGGACGTTACCTACCTGAGCCTCCCGGCCAGGCCCCAGTGTGTCCTCGTCAGCGGCRCAGGTGGATTTGGAGCAGCCCTCGTGGGCCACCCGCGCCCCTGGGGACCGCGCTGGCCTGTCACGATGGGGGCTGCCACTCTGCAGCGGCGCCCCGAAGGAGCTCAGYGCTGGCGGCGGGGCCCTTGCGGGYGCTGCGGCCTCGGCGGTGTGGACGAACCGGTACTCGTAGGCYGGCGGCCCCTCGGCGGCGGTGGCGGGTGGCTGGTGCAGGGGCGCCGGCGCGGCCATGGGGGGCAGCTCCTTGACGTACTGGGCCGGGATGTAGAAGGGCCGGGCATCCCCGCTGCGCCGGACGTGCCACCAGTGGTCGTTGGTGCGTCTCAGCAGCACGTAGCGCTCGTTGGGCTTGATGGAGACCAGCGTGCCGTCCTTGGCCCGGTACTCGAAGCCGTACTCCACCAGCACGTGCACGGCCTCGGGCGGCCCCGCCGCCGCCATGGCCGTCCTCCTGCAAGACGCAGCGACGGYGGCTGCTGAATCCCRCYGGGGGCAGCCCCTGCCCACCATGGCCCGCGCGACGGGGGCCGCTCGGGGCCCTCCTGGGCTCCAGGAGCCGGTGGCGTTGGGAGGGTCTCGCCCAGCCCCGCTGGCTGCAGCGGGAGGCTGCGGCGGAGCGGAGCTGACAGCAGCTCTGCCTCCCGGGGAAGGGRACGTGGGGACGGAGCGGGGCTGGGCCGGAGGGGCCGGCAGCCTCCCAAGCCCAGAGCCTGTGACTCTGCGACTTGGGGTGGGCAGGAGGTGACCGCGGCGCCGCGTCCCTGGCGTCCCCTGGGCCACCAGGCACCAGCTCCGCACGAGCGGATCCACGGGAAGGGCCCTGGGGGCCGGGATGGCTCCCCGAGCTCCGCGGCGCCCGCCCGGCCTCAAACGTCCCCAGCGGAGCCCCCGGGCCGGCCCCGCATGGACACCCCTGTCCCGTGGCAGCCGCTGCCGCGGACCCCACTCCAGCCCCGCTCCGGCGCCTACCTGCAGAGCGCGGAGCGGCGGGCGCCAGCGGGGCCCTCCCGGGCGCGCGGCCTCGCAGCGGCACCGGCGCCGCCCGAGCCTGCGCGCGGGCCCGCGGCCCGTCCCGACTTGCCTGCCGGCCGCCAACGAAGCCGGAGCCGCCGGTTCCTGCCGAGCGCTTCGCGGTCCCCCCGGCTCCGCAGCCGGCGCTGCCAGGTGAGGGCCGAGCGTCACGGCGGGCGCGGGGCCTCGGCGGGTGCTGCCGGCGGGCGCGGGACGCCCGGCATCGCCGCCCACGGCGCCCGCGACTGAAGGGCTCGGTCGGGCCCGGCCTATTTCCTCTCCGGGAGGCGGCTGGCAGCTCCAGGAAGGAACCGGAGCGAGGGAAAGGGGCTGCTTCGCCGGAGGAAGTCGCTTCCCGCCTCCGGCAGCGCCTCTGGGTGGGGGCCGCGAAGGGAAGCGCCGGCGCCGGAGAGCGCTGTGTTCGGCTGGGACACGGCCCCTCCGACGTCCCCCTCCACCCCAGGGCTCCTCTTTGGGGCCGCGGTGGGAGGAATCGGATCCTGGCAGAGGCTCCTGCYGCTGGAAGGGCCGGGCCTGGGGGCAACACCCGAATCCGGAGCCGCCGGCCTTGGCCTTGGCGCCCGGGGGCAGAAGCCCCGGGGTTCCCGCTGCTTCCTGCCCTGCCAGGGCCGGGCGGCACCAACCCCGTCCCCCTCCAGCGCCAGCCCCACGGAGGCCATCCCAGACATGCGGGTGTCCCCCGGACTGAGGCTGGGGAGCCTCGGCCCTCGGGCCCTTCTGCCAAGCCTCAAGGCCTGCCCTTGGCTCTAAGCCTGGAGCCCTTCAATGGCGCCCACCGCAGAGAAGGAAGGAAACCCAGGGGACAGCTGCGCTCCCTGTTCAATAAACTTTAATCATTTCTGTAATCAGGGTGAAAGGAAAATAAAATTTCTTTCTGGCCTCACAAGTGGCCAAGAGTTAAAATCAGCAGCCAGGCAGGGGCAGAGCGGCCGGTTCTCCCCTCTCTTCACGAATCCCACGGGCTGCGGGCGGGTTCTCCGAGGGAAAGAGCCGGCGGAGGCGACGCTCTGCAGCCGCTGCCGMGGCCTCCCCGCCTGCAGGCCGGCGGTGGCCGCGCTGCTGAAGGCACGAGTTCCCCGCGGCGCCCCCTCCCCAAGCCCGTGCTGCTCGAGCCATGGGCGGCCGCTGCTGCTTTCCCCCAAGCGAGTTTTGTGCAAAATCCCATGTAAAAAAAATATTTTTTTCTTTTTTTTTTTCGCCCCTCCAGTACCGAATGGCCTATAAAACTAGAGCTTCAATCAACATCAGTTGCCCGCCACCCTTGATTTGATACCCGGCCTATTTACACCCCGGAAACGTGCTGCGTTTCCCCCGCGGGGCAGAGCGCCGCCGAGGGAGGCCCCGGAGGAGGGAGGCTGTCAGCARGCAGGGGTGGGAGCAGCCGCGGGCAGCAGCGGGTTTGGGAGCGCCGGGAACGTCGCCTTGCGAGGCGCTGGGCGGGAGCGCTCCAGCCCCGCTTGCCCAGCCGTGGGAGCGGGGACGGCCCTGCGAGTGCAGCGGCAGCACCAGCACCTCCGGCATCCCCCGAGCACCCCTGGCCTTGCAGCCTTGCACAAGGGCCCTGTGGGAGGCGCCCGGGGCGACGGGACCCGGCTATGCCCCGCGGCAGGACGACCCCGCCATCCTCGCGCTCCTCCTTGCAGGGAAGCACAGCGTGGCGCTCCAGTGGCTCCCGGGYGCTAGAGATGCGGCTCCCCGCCGACGTCGGCCTCCAGTTTCCGCTGGTAGCGCTGCCGGCGCTCGCAGCGCGGGCAGGACTTGGCGCTGGCCTGGCACTCCCGGTGGAAGACGGTTTTGCACCGGCTGCACCTACGAGAAACGAGGCAAACGCCCGGGCTGTTGGCAAGGCCGGGCAAACCGGAGGCAGCCCCAGCGACACTTCCTCGGCCCCGCTCCCTCCCAGTCGCCCCTGAGCAGGAACCGGCCGTGAAATAAACAGCACCCAGTCAAGCGGCGGCTGCGCCTGCAGCGCCGAGCGGAGCGGCAGCAGGTCGGGGAGCGCCCAGGGAGCGGGCAGTGCGCGGCGCCCCTCGGGAACGCGGCTCTCGCGAACCCCGTGCCGGGCGCTGCCAAGGCCRGCGCTGCCTTCCCGGGTGACTCAGGGCAGGGGTGTCCGCAGCCGCAATGCCACCCTGCGCAGACACCCTGCTCCGCGCGGGGCGTTCACTGCTCCGCGCAGCAAACAGAGGCAAAGGGCGCGCTGGGCGCTGCCCTGCACCCGTCCTGCGCCGCCGCCTACCTCCCCTTGCAGRAAGCAGCCAGACGCTGCCAGGCCGCGTGCCAGGGGCTTGGTAGGGCTTTAAAGGCCCCAAAACACACGCAGCTCGTGCCTCACATAACCCAAGGTGTTAAAGGACAAAGGGGGGGCGAATTTGATGCAAAAGACATGAGACTTCAACTGTGGTTTTGGAAGTGACAGCAGGGCCGCCTGGGTGCTCGGGGAGAGGGGAAACACRGAGCGAGCAAAGGAAAGCAGAGCAAGGCAAGTAGGCGAGAGATGATTGAAACCTAGTTCCAGCTTGAAAGATCCTGGGTTAGATCCTGCCTCTGCTCCTGCCAGGMGAGTGCACAGCTGCCGTTTCGCAGCGTACAGGAGCTGCCACGAGTAAAGATATGGATGGACAGGGAGGTGCCCGGCACCGTTCACCTGCCCAGCGGAGCCTTTGGGATGCAACTGCAGCCCCTCAGCGGAGGAGGGTTTGGCTTTCAGTGAAATTGAGGTTTCACCCTGTGCTGCTGCCAAAGGGAAGCGACTCCAGCCGCCAGCTGCGGCGCAAACGCTCTCAGGAAGCGGCCACCGCTGGTGTGAAAACGAAAACGTCACTCGCCCGGCCGGGTTATTGTTAGGAGCCGTTTCAGACGCATCCTCCCGCAGGTTGCAGCGTGACCCCAGCAGCTGCGGGGACGGGCGCAGCAGAGGGGCAGGAAGCCGGGCGCTGCGGGGCGAGGGTGCCCCGCGAGCTGCGCTCTGGCTGCGCAGCCCCGCTCAGCCTGCGAGCGGGAAGAGGGTGGCCGCAGAGCGGGGACACGAGACCCGCACCCTGCACCCTGCACAGCACAGCCTCACGCGCCTGCCCGGGGCAGCTCGCCCTTCCCAGGGCCCAGCAGCTCTGGATTCTGCCACTTGGGTTTAGGACCTGSCAGCTCAAAGCAAAACCATGCAGAGTACATCACTGTCTGAGGCAGGAAAAGGTTTGTAATTGATTCTGAATGGGCCATCASTGAATAACCTGAAGGCCATGAATCTCTTCTCACCTACAGCAGCAGTGTCTGGGACCAAGCAGGAAGGATTTGATACTTATTTCTTTAGGAAACATAAAATTGTATCTGCAGGAATAAACACAACCTATTCTGACATGTATGGCCGGGTTCAAAACCTGCTCAGCTGCTGGACCTCATGCCATCCAGCAGCAGCGAGCTCCACAGGCAAAAACTCATGAAAACACATTATTCTCCTTTGGATTCACTTATGTCCCTGCCCAGCTCCTGCAGCCTCTCTCGTCTYGAGCAGGGAATGGTCCTGGTCTCCAAGCTCGTCTGTACTGCTCCTGGCAGCTCCTTTCTGCCCTGGCACCCAGCACCCGTGAACCTTTGGCAGGCTAGCAGTGAGGTCAGTGGAAGCAAAACAGACGCCGCTATCGATCTGCAAAGCCTCTCTGCCCTCCTCTTTTCCACCACGCACTTGGTTATAGCTTGGGTTTGCTATTTTTGCCCTTCCTCTTGCCCTAAACGTGCCTTTTTTCTGRGTTCAGATAAGCTTTGAGTCACAGAAGGCACCTGGTTACTGTGTAAGTGTGGTCAGGCCTTGGCCTCAAAGCTCTCAGGAGAGGAAACGTCAGCGGGCACACAACCGTTTCTATTAACAGTGGCCAGCGAGCACTGGTCACCTTGTGGGCACCTGCAGGTGCTGGCTAGAAAGCAGAGAGCCCCCTCTGAGCATCTCAGAGGGACCAAGGGGACAATCCAGATGCCCGTGAAAAGCCAGTCACAGGCCAGACGTGAGGCCATCACCTAAGACACGACCGTGAGAGATCTCACTACAGTGAGACCCGATGGAAACGACACTCACCTGATGGTCGTGTCAAACTCGAAGGGAAAAATGATGGCGCTGCGGTTACAGATCTGGCAGATAAAGCCTCTCTGGGTGCACAGGTCGCAGTTGTAGACGTGATGGGAAGCAAACTGGATCGAAGACTGCAGGAACGTCTCAAACACRCCCTCGGCTATCTGCAGAGCAGGGACACGCCACATGTTAGCAACGGGGACTGCCTCCGTCCCGCCTTGCACTCTGCTGCTGCTCACACGGGAAACGTCCGTGTTTCACCCGCCACGTGAGGGTGAGACGCACGTCCAAGCGCAGCCCCAAACCCCAYGTGTCTGCTTTGGGGCTTAGCGTCTCAACTGGGCACCAGAGAGGCTGATCAACCTCTGCAGCAATGCAAAGCTCTCACCTGCCTTAAATCACTGACGCTGTATTTGTGGGGACACTCCAAGAGGTAGTTCCTGTGGTCAAGCCTTCAAACAAGCACAGAAAAGAACAGATTAGGTGATTTCCACGACATCCTCAATAGCCTCAGAGTAAGAAAGAGCCCAGGCAATGCGGCCTCTGCGGAAAGTTCCTGCAAGCCTCATTTTACATTGTGCAACAGATCCCAAATCCTGCCATTGAAAACGTGCGAGAGCATTTCAAAGGGGAAAGAAAACACAGCTATTTTCCCAGGTGTTTCCTGTCCAGCGAGAGGCCTCCTTGGTTCAGGAAGGTGTTTCCTTAGTCACATCTCAACGTGCCAAGGCAGCAAGCAGATGGATAACTCCTTACGGCAGATGACACGGAGCTCAAAAACAACCCACACCCTGACAGCACCGCTCCCCGATCAAGGGAAAAGCAACAGGGAAGAGGCCCATGGACCAGGGACACCATCAGCGGCGCTGGTTGTYCCCCCGGCTGCTTCAACTTCCCCAAACACAGAGCAGCAGCCACGACAAAGCCACGTGAAAGTGGGAGAAGAGACTGAGCGACAGGACCTCACCGCTTGCTGAGCTCCTTCAGGGCCCCGCTGCGACACATGACGAGATAATCCCCGAGCAGCTTCAGCTGCTCCCTGCTCCGGCAGATTCGCCTCATCCTCTCCACGTGCTCGTAGAGGCTCTCGTTCACCAGCTTCAGGTTGATGAGCGGCTGGTTACGGATCTGGGTCAGGAACTGCAGAGCCTGCCGGCAAACCTGCAGCACAGAGAGAGGCCACCCGTGCGCTGCACGGTGCTCCGCGCCCAGGAAGCCTGGAGAGGGAAGCACCGGGGAGGAGGAAACCCTGCGGAGAGCGAGGGACCTCCGGAAGGTCTTGGCTGCAACCCTAACCCTCGAACACGGGGCGAGTCCCAGATGCCCTTCCCGCAGCCGACCGCCCTGCTCGGGGCAGCTTGTTGGCTGCCCGCCGCCCTCGCCAGGGCCGTGCCACCACAAGCGGGGCCCTCGCCCTGCCCCCCGGGCACCCCCAGCACAGACTCACCCCTCGCTTCACCAGATCCCAGTTGTGGATGAGGCGTGACGGAATCACCGTCTCCTCGTCCTGGTGGCAGCTGTCGCAGTAGTAGAGGCCGGAGAACGCGCAGAGCTTGGGCTTCGCGAAGGAGAAGCCGATCTGCCTGGAGCAGCCTGGAGGGAGCAGGGATGAACGGTGAGAGGGGACCGGGGCTGCCCCAAGCCCCATTCCCGCTGCTGCAGCATGGGGGGGCACCAAAGCCCTCAGCAACAGGGTGAGAAACTTTTGATCAGCTAAAGCAAGAGCCTGTGCTTGGCAAACCCTCCAGTTCTGCTCACACCGCGCGCAGGAGAAGAACAGAGGCAACGCTGCTGAGACGGGAACCCAGCTTGCAGTTAAAGGTGGTGCTTGCAGACAGAATCAGACAGGACCAACCCGCAGGCCCCCATCACAGAGCATCTACAGCCCCAGGTGCCTTGGGTCTGAGCCCCCCAGCCCTTCCCCACCTGCGAGGGGCTGTGACACAGACCACGACTGTCCCACAGGAGCCACCTCACATGCTCTTCACAAAGAGGGAGCCTCGTCCCGAATCCACCATGTATTTCCTGATCAAACACTTCAGTATAAATTTCCTTTCCCAAAGTAAACTGTGGAAACACCACAGTGGTCTGGCGAAGATCCTAAAGCCTTCCTGGTGGCTCCRCCAGCTCTGCCAGGAACTTTGTTCAGCCTCTTTTGCCTTCACTCGGCCCTTCTCTCTCTCACACTGCAGGCTGCCAAAAACACCCCAGGATCCTCCCGTGCAAGCGCTGAGCTCGGGGCGAGCGCAGCAAAGCCGCCTTTACCCGAGGCGCCGTGTAGCGCAAGCGAACGCATCTCGTCTGGGCTCATGAAGACCTGGAAACTTTTTTTGTGCTATTTTTATCGGCTTCACTTCTCTAAAATAACCGACAGAATAAGCGAATCTCTGATTTCCGCCCGCTGCGGCCTCAGGCTGCATTTGCCTCGCGCAGAGCGCGTTTCAGTCATTCACATTTGGGGGTAGCTGCAATTTGGGCCTTAGCAAAACCCCCAGAGCTCCGGGGCTGCTATTTAAGCAGTTGCTGTAGATGTCGCTTTTCTGCTTTGCCCTCAGATCCCCGATTTCTTCCCGTCTGTCACCTGGACACAGGAAGCCGCTGCGGGCCCAGGGCCCCTGCTCAGGGGGAACCCAAAAGCTGCCGCCGGCCTCGGCAAAGGGCAGAGAGGAGCCCAGAGGAACCTCCCCCCGGCACCGGGCAGGCGCAGTCTGGCTTTGCAGCTTGCAAGATTCCACCTCTTGCAGCTTGCTGCTTCCATCTATTGGTGGGACAGGGCCTGGAGCGAGCTGAAGGTGAAGGACGACAGCAAAGCCAAAACCAGGCTGATGGAAAATGGACAGAAATTCAGAAGAGCTGCTGGAAACCCGGGAGGGTGCAAGAAGCATACCAGGAGCAGGAGAGAAACCTAAGTGCAGTTAACTTAAAAAGGGAACAAATGACGACCGCCCATGGAGGTTAGGGAGTGTTATCCTATTAAGCCAATGCTATTATACCCTATTAATTACCCCAGTGTTCCCACTAGTGGGAGTGAAGTTTTCTCCAAAGCAGCTCGTCCCGCCCGTGGCCACGCTGAGCCCTGCGTCGCGCTCCCTTCCATCTCACCTGCTCTTGCCCTCGGCTGCACTTACCCACACACGGTGGCCATGAAACGTCCAGCAAAAGTGTCACGGGCCCCTCGGCCACACCGGGGCACCTAAGGCTGCCTTAGAGCCCAGCCGTGCCACTGTGCAAAGCACGAGCCTCAAACAGGAGCCGGACCCGGAGGCTGCTGCGGGGCGGAGGGCGGGGGACTCCGCTGCAGCGCACGGGATGCTCCCTGACTCCGGGCATCTCCGTAACGTCGATGTTACCTCATTAGCCTTAATGAACAAAACATTAACCTCCAGGGCCGAGCTGGGCTTCGTGCATTTGCCCAAGGCAACACGTACCTGCACAGATGAAGCTCTGCGAGTCCAGGCCCTTCTCCACGGGGATGGCCACCAGGTACTGCAACAAGAAGCCGTTTTCCTTCACGATGTTTTTCAGGAGGATCTGAGAGTTGCCATCCAAGCTGCCCGCTAGGGTCAGCGCCTCYTCCGCGGTCTCCAGGTAGGACATGAGCACGGTCCGGACCAGCCTCCTCCACGCCGCCGCCTCTTCCGCGTTCTGGGCTTGCAGCTTCAGGACGGCTTTGGAGGTTATGACCTTGAAAAAGGCAGGTCCCCCAAGGCTCGTGTCTGGAAGGATATCCTGGATTGTCTCTATACCATAACTGTTACTTAAAATTTTCTCCTTGTTCCTCACTTTAAAGCACTTCAAAGTTTCTAATGACAGGGAAAAAATAAAAGGGGCCCACGTTCTATCTACATCCACATAAAGAACAGATTCTTTTATTGCATCGAGTTCTGGTTCATGAGCTGAGGTCCAGTCCAGGCTGTTTCCAGGCACGTCGTGGTGGAGGAGAGAGGCTGAGTCGCTGGCTCCAGGCTGGCCTTCGCCGCCGTCTGCTGGATACTCTAGCGTTTCCCACTCCTCCTCCTCCAGCTGCGGCCGGCACTTGTGCAACGCCTCACGGATCCTGTCCAACCAGTCCTCGGCCTCGTCTCGGGAAGGCGCTCGCAGGTAGAGCCTTYTCCCCAGGAACACCAGCTCGAAGCGGCCGTCGGAGTGCGTCAGGGCCAGCGACTCGCACCGCAGCAGGGAGTAGCTCTCCACGCAGATCCGGTCCTCGTGGTCCAGGAAGAGCCGCAGCTCCAGCGGCGACAGCTCGCAGGAGAACTCCTTCCATATGCCCATGGCTCCTCTGCGCTCCAGGCTGCCCAGCTTGAGGAGCCCTCGGAAGGGGTTGGAAAGACCTTTGGGAAGAGCAGAGGTCGCAGTGTAACCAAAGGSGAAAAGGGAGCGGGCAGCCGGCGGCACCGCAGGCGCTCAGGCTGAGAGCCGGGAACGGGAGGGAGGGCGCCACAGAAACCTGTCCCATCAGGCAGATGGGGCCACTGGGAAGAGAGGCGCCCAGGGCCTCCACCCTCCCCTTGAARCGCTTCCCACCAAAGCTAACGCAGGCCCGGGAACGCCGGGAGCCYCAGGCAATCGGCTGCTGCTGCCTCYGGTGATGCCCTCYGCTCCGCAGCCGCCGCTTCCCAAAGAGCGGGGACCCATGGGGCAGGTAGCACCCGCAGGAGGGGCGCCGGGCTCATGTACCCGTGTGCCGCCGGTGCACGTACCCGTCTGCCGCCGGTGCACCACRCTGAAGCCCTTGGGCCCCGCTGCGCGCGGCAGCGCCAGGCGCCCGGCCTCCGCGGAGGGCAGCGCCGGCCGCTCCAAGTGCAGGGCGCTGATGAGCCCCGTGCTGGCGGCCGCTGCTTCCCCGGGCAGCGCGAAGCCGTTGAGGTGCGTCGTGCCCTCTCCCGGCGAGGGCCTGTGGATATCCTCTTCCGAGATCCAGCTCTTTCTCTTCTGCTAGGAAGAAACCCGACATCAAGCTCAGGGCCTTATTCCTCGGACACACCTGGCCGCAGGGCCCCCTTCCCGGGAACAACCCCCACATGGAAGCACGTGGATTTGGGCCGCTCGGGCTCCCAGGGTAAATCACATCTCCGTGCGTCAATGCGGGCTCCCTGCGGCTGACCACACACGTGCCTCGTGCTGGGAGGTCATCGCCACCCCAGCCMTCCTCCCCATGTGGAGCAGACACCAAACGCTCCGATAAAGAAACCTGGAAGCAGAAGGTGTTTGCAGCTGGCAAAACCCACCAGGCTCTCGCTGAGCCCTAGAGAGCTCCAAGGAAAAGATCTGCCCAACGTCCTGCCCGTAAAGTCACTGCTTGGTTCCCCTCTCCAGGCAAATCGCGTTCTGACCATGTTAAAACACAGTCAAGGGCAATGTGGGTGTCCTTTAGCTGCCACCACAGGGCCAAACGCACTCATGGCATACACTGCAAAGAACTGGYGTGGCTTCAGGTCCAAAAATATATCTATTAATTGGTTCCTTCTCGCTAAAATCATAGAACAGCTYAGAAAAAGGAGCCTGTTCCTTGCAATGTCTTTGCTCCCCAAGAAACGGCAGGAGCAAAATCCGACCGTGTTCAGGGTGGCTGCCAAACGGAGCAGCTGCCCTTTCCAGGGCTGTCCCACCAGGGACAACCACTCCATTCCCTCTCCTGCTTTCAGAGCGCCCTTTACTGTGACCCAAACTCCACGAGAGCAGGAGCGTCGCTGCCAGCCCTCCAGCRGGAAGCGTGATTCCCAAGCGATTCCCAAAGCAGAGGAAGCCTCTGTTTACTCTCGCACATAGGAATGCAGGTCGCTCCATGAGTCACGCCAAAGCAGGAGGGAATTTCCTGTTGACACCCTATGTTATACATAAGATTAGTCAAACTGGTCCAATGCCAYGGAAGCAGGATAACTGGGAGGGAGCCAAAAGAAGTACGGAGCAAAGAGCGAAGCTGTTGAGGYGGGTACCAAGGATGCGCTGGACTCGCCAGGGTGGGAAGAGGAGTGGGTCACAAGGCAGAGTCAGGCAGASGACAGGGCTGCTCAAAGCGAGTTTCCTGGAAGCAAAGCGAGAGAATGTCCCGCTCTGCAGGCAGCGACGGGTGAAACTCCCCGCAGGCCGCGCTCACCTAAGCACCCGTGAACGCCGACCTGCCTTGCGGCCACGTGTGTCTCAGGCATTTTTCTTTCTGAAGAAAACCTGTTTTGTTTGTCCTGTGCAGTCAATGTTTTTACCTCCTGTCGCCCGGGTCATTAGCCAAGCAGAGTCTCGTYCCTGGCTCGTGTCAGTCTCCAGTCTGCGGCTGTTTTGTCGGCTCATGCAGAGCCTGCAGTCAGATTCGTGTGAGRGCTCATCACCCATCATTAACAAAGCAGAGCAGCTGCTCGTGACGAGGAYGGCGCAGGGAATGAGCTGCCACAAGGACTCTCAAAGTTTTGGAATTCCTCTTGCCAGGGAATCTTTCCTTAGGCCCGATTTGTGCCAGGCTGGTGGCACAGACACAGCTCCCGGGGCTCAAGGAGGTGTGTATGGAGCACGCAGCACTTGCCATCACTATTTTGTCATGAATTTTACGCACCATTTGCACCCAAATGCTTCATGGGAGGCTCCAGGCAACCCAGAAGATGAGCGGTGAGAGAACCCAGCGCCTCCTCACCATTGGCCCCCAGTTTTACCTTCCTTTCCCATCGCACCTCCCGCGGAGCAAGCCCAAAGCCAAGGACACGCAGGAAGAGAGCGGAATCACCTACCGGGCAACCCGATGCCGGGCACAGGAGGAAACCGGCTGGGGGGCTGCGGGCTGGGGGGCTGCCGTC